CTAAAAATTGAAAATCAGCAAAAAATTGAAACATCGAAAAAGTGCAAAATCGAAAAAACGAAACATGAATTGCAAAATCGAAATATTGAAAATTAAAAAAATTGGAAAATCGGATAACTGGAAATCCAAAAATTGCAAATTTGAAAAATTTAAAAATTAAATAAACGAAAAATTATAACATCGAAAAAAGCATTGAAAAAATAAAGGGAATGTAAAACTATGATATAAAATTGAGAAAATGAAAATTAAAAAATGGGGAAAATGAAGAACTTGAAAAATTGAGAAAACGAAAAATTGAAACTTCGGAACATTAAAAACTGGGAAAGTGAAAAAGGGAAAATGAAAAATTGCAAATCGAAAAATTGAGGAAACGATAAACTGAAAATTTTGGAAATCGAGGAATGGAAAAATTGAAAAAATTAAAACTGAAAAAACGACAAATTATGAAACCGAAACACTGAAAAATGAAAAATAAAAAAAATTGTGAAATCGAACAAAAAAAAAACGAAAATGAGTAACAAATTGGTCGACGGTAAATAAATCCAATTTTTTGGTTTTTCGATATTTAAATTTTCGAATAAAAAAAAGGAAACATTGCAAAATAGTTAAACTGAAAAATCAAAAATGAAAAAACGAACAATTATAAAATGAAAGCCTAAAAAATCTAAAAATTGAAAATCAAGAATTTGAAAAATTGAAGCAAAAAATTGAAAAATCGAAAAATTAAAAATCGAGAAACTTAAAAATTGAAAAAGTGCAAAATCAAAAAAACGAAAGATCAATTGCAAAATCGAAATATTGAAAATCCAAAAATAATAAAAACGAAAGAAGCACTGAAAAAAGAGGAAAAGAAAAACTATGATATAAAATTGAGAAAATGAAAATTAAAAAATGGGGAAAATGAAGAACTTGAAAAATTGAGAAAACGAAAAATTAAACATCGGAACATTAAAAACTGGGAAACTGAAAAAGCGAAAATGAAAAATTGCAAATGGAAAAATTGAGGAAACAACAAAGTGAAAATTTTGGAAATCGAGAAATAGAAAAATGAAAAATGAAAAAAAATAAAAACACGAAAAATTGTGATATCAAAAATTGTGAAATCGAACCAAAAGGAAAAACGAAAAAAGTAACAAATTGGCCGATGGTAAATAAATCCAATTTTTAAAAAAAATACTCCTACTAAGATTTGATTTTGCGAATTTAATTTTTTTATGATAAACCTTATGATGAGTTGTATGTAATGTTAAAGTAAATCTAAAGAAATGGGCTATGCGTTTCAAGTGAGTTTTTCCATTACAAAATTTTGTGATGACACGTACATCAATTTGGATATAAAAATGTGGTGTAATACTAATAATAAAGTAAGTTGTTTTTGATTATTTAATAAAATAAATTTCCTCATTCATTAATTTTTTCGAGTTATAAAAACTATTAGTGCATTGATAAACCACGAATATGTAGTCATAATATTTTGCATAATTCAGAGAAGATTTATTAGGTAAAATTTTGAGATGATGTCATCAAATTTGTAAGAAGCGATAAACGATACGATTTACGATAACCTTAAAACGCTTGCAAGATTTCAGAGCATTCGGTTTTACAATTTCAAAGTTAAATTGCAAAATGTTGGAATACAATTTGGATTTTTTTTTTTTTCAAAAATCTGGATGCCAGGTTGAAAACTCAACACGGGTTCATAGACCACAAGTGCAGGAGTATCTTATTTTATAAAATTAAAATATATGTATTATTGTAAATTTTCCTATTGTGATGTTGATCCAAATTTTGGTTAGCGTTTTACCATCTACATAATATATTCCTAGCATATGTATACACAAAATTTATCAACAATCGGTCCATTGTTTTCGTAGATGTGTCTAATAAGAGACCCCGTGGAAACATGAAAGTGGAAGTCGCCCGATGGACTCATAACTATAAAAAGAATGTATAGAAATAAAACGCCAACTAGATTTTCTATGATCATTCTCACCAAAAATTTGTGATAACTATTTTTAATTTTATGTATAGACGTTTTTGGAAAGAAATTGTCCAACAAAATTTTATAAGTTGCTTTAGAAACAACAAAACTGCTTTAAGGTTATCGTATCGTATCAGAATTCGTCTGGTGGTCCCCTTCAAAAACTGGATGACGTCATTCCAAAATTGTGTTAAGCAAATCTTGTTTGAAATGATACGTATACGGGTTATGCTTAAAGAATAAATCTGGGTTTACACAACACTTATTATTTAATTTCGGTTGTAAAGGCAAACTGTAAAATTAATTATCAACTTAAAAACTTTATCACTGTAGAACGGTTACAAATTAGGCAAAACTATTTTAGTTATAAAGTTAAAAAAAATACTATGCATTCTTGGAGAATACATAGAATGACATTTGATGATTCATGAATGACATACAATTTTTCGCTGAAAACAATAAGTTAGTGCTTTTTAGATTTGTCTCAGCATTGCACTAAGTTGCTCATTTTTATTGACTCACTTGTCCTTATTTTTTTGTTTATATCACTTCATACAATCACAATACTCCTAATTGCTTCATGGACCTGCTGAATCAAATTTGAAGTATGCATCGTCATGATTGCACAAGTTTATTCAAAATGTGGTAAATACAAATACAATAGTGCTAGTGTAATTTTTGTTTTATCGTATCTGAAACACGTGGGTTTACAGTGGGACGATATAATCATGTTACCACTGTCGGTCTTTGTCACGGTTTGATCAATATTGGTTGAACTCACCACGGGACTGATTTTTCCTGCCTTCACATCCCATTTACACGATACGTGCGGTTCCACTCTAGAAGTAATCAACTAGTGTCTAATATAAGGACTATTGATAATAATAAATGAGATTTGTCTTTTGTTTTTATTAATCTAGAAAAATAATTTTCTGTGCTCACTTTATAACCAATTTTTTCGGATAAGTGAAAAATAGATTGCATACATGGAACTATTAACAAAATTCCAACGTTGTCACTGCTCTTAATTATTCCATAGTTTTTTATTTTTGTACGTTTATCAACGTTTCGCAATGCAGTTATTACGAGTCCGGGAAGTATTTTTAACAAGCGTAGTTTAATATCCTTGAATATTTTAGGTGATAATTGCCTATAAAGAATAATGTTACAGAATGATACCGGGAACGAGGATTTGCTTTTTTTTAATTATATTTTGTTTTTGCTGCCTCCGTTTATTAAAACTTAATTTAATTTTTTGCGATCTCAAGATCACTCTTTGTCTTATTAAAAAGAAGTCAATTTTGTTGTCAATGACATTTTTAATTAATCTTGCGTGATAAACAGAGAAACAAAAATCCGCCTTGACTCCAAATTGGACTGCAAATTTTCAGTGTCGTCATTTCGTAATATTTACATCTTAATCTTTGTTTACATCATCGTTCCATTACTGATCACTCCAGTTTTTTTCTGCAGCGGTCTTATCACCTATCTAACCTAAATATAAATAATTGATATCCAATTTTTATTTTTCTTCGATATATATTTATTTTTTTTCTTAATGCTGTTTTATTAGTCAAACATTTGTTATCAGTGTAGAATGTAAAGTTATGCTATATGTACATCCGCGAGACGGGTGCTCCTTCTGATATGTAGTATTTTTATTTCTTTATTGCGTACAACATCATCATTCGGTTTATTTATTGCAACACATTCTTTCATAAAAATTTGATAGATAAAGCAAGTGTGATTTCAACAGAAAATTTTTCGTTGAGAAATAGGATATTAGGTCAATTTTAAGTGATGCTTTTTTTTTAGGCCGTGATTTTGTTGGATTAGTGTGACTCGCAAACAGGATATAATCATTACAAAGCGATTTAACCAAATGAGACTTTGTGATCGTTTAAATTTGCCGAAAAACGATAAGAATGTTTGATTTTGCGTTAATTTTATAAGTCAAACATTATTTTGTTCTGATGTGTTTGACCTTAATCCGATCGATCTCTCAATGGCGCGTCATTGATCGATCAAGCAAAGGTATCTTCGACTATTGACATTGCCTCATCACGTACTGTTTTCAAAGTTGACAATATTTTGTTGCTTCATTATCTAACATTGCTCTATATTTGGTTGTGCAATGATTTATTTGGCATCTCGTCAATGCCATCAAATTTCCATAAATCGATTCCATTAATATTCTAAAGTACGTTTATTTGCTTGGGTGTTCCACGCTCCTGTTTATCCAACCACCACGGACTTGGCATAAAAAATGGTAATATTTAAATGAAGTCAAGATTAATATGTAGTCAACGCCAGCGTGACGGCCAACCAAATTCCAGGACAGATGTGTCCAATCTGAAAGCGGAATTGGGAAAAAACTGGCCATCTGCCTCATCTTTTGTTGTTGATATTTTTTTCAACGGGGTTAAAGAGTGGGTGGCAAGCTGCACCACGCACCACCTTATTTGTATCACGACGTATCTCAGGTAGATCCGTCCCGAGTCCCGAGGAGCACAAAAGCACCCCATGCAATACAATCGCAAAAGCTCCATGGTCTCAGTGCGCCTGCGCCGCCCCACTCAAAGCGTCAGAGCCTTCACCAGAATGGATTTCAGATTTTCAGGCAGTAGCGCGATGACTCTAGTAGTGCGCACACTCACTGTGGCAGTGTTAGTTTTGTGTTAACATTATCGTTTATTTAGTTGTTTAATTTTTTTGTTTCAATTACTTCGCAGTTGTATATACTTTCGTTACGGCTCCAAGATCGGGAAGGTTAGTAGTGTTTTTGTTGATTTCTCTCAATGTCACTCGGATTTGTTTCTTTTGACCTTTATTGTTTACAAAACACCTTGGACAAATATTTTTTCATACCTGCAGAAATTGTTTGGTTACTGTGTCGGTGTCTCCGAGGACGCTGTATCGCTTATCATTGATTTTTGCGGACTCTTTGTTCTTCTTAGTCGGGTCGGCTCCTTTGCGCAAAAGACTAGAAACGCCGGCTAACTTTTTGCTTCTGTTCCAGGTGGATCGTGCCGGGCTCTAGGATAACAAATTGACTCTAACAAATTTATTTATTTAGTGTTTGTGTGGTGTTGTGCGAAAATGCAAAACGTGCAAGACGTGATGCCAAGTGTTAGACTGAACGGGGTGGACAAAAACGTGGAGGTTGCCTCCTCCGCCGGGGAGGTGGTGAAAAAATTCCGGGTGTTTCCTCCGAGGGAAGAGTGCCGGAGACCCAAACCCACCACGGATCGGGACCAAAGTTCACCCCTTTGTCCGAATCAAAGTGATAAACATTTCCAAACGTCCGTCGTCGCGGATAAATATCTTCTCCTCGAGCAAGCGGAGGGTAGTTCCTTGTACCGGTGCGTGGACGTCAACACCCAGGAGGAATTGGTCTGCAAGGTGAGCAAATCGTTCGATTGTGTAAATCGCATTGGCCAAGAGCTAGACTCTTTTGTAGTAAGTGTTTCCTCACTCAAACCCGGTGACGTCATCACGGCCCTAAGCCCATTAAAGCACGAAATCCAATCATTCCCTACCTGCCCCTATTGTCGCGTACCCCCTTTGTAAACGCAGAGTAGCGTCCGTTTTGCGGAATTGTGTAATACCTCCAAGGTTGCATTACGAATTTGTTTATCTTAATTCGAACCGTGAGGGTTTTTTCCGGGAGTCGGTCACGTGACGGTGACGGAAACGGTTGCAAAGTGACGCAAGGTTGCTCGTCATTTTCGGAATCACCGTCGGTGACATCACATTGTTCAGGGAAAAATCAGGTTCCATCGGGAAAAATTCTCATGGTCACCCTAGCTACATCCCATTAATAGCGAAATTAATTCACGTAAGTGCAAACCCGTTTGGTCGGATGGTCCAGCGAGGAGAACTGGTCCATTGCACTATTCGCGTGGTCATCCGATGTGAGAAACTATTTCTGTCTGGGGAGATACCCCGTCTATTAAATAACCCTTCACCTCTTACGCGCATTTTATAACCAGATGTTGATTAATTGCTGATGCATGTGGGAAATAAGGGAAAAATCTGTCGCACCCTAACCCCACGTTTTATTTAAAAGGGTTCGATACGGTATTTGCATATCATCGATTCGTACAACGCTCCGTGTATTTCTGCTGCTTTACAACAAGCGGCCTTTGGAATGCAGGTAAAAATCGCCCTCAGACAATGCCCCTAATCAGACTGACCCGACACTAAACCTTCGTCCAACACCGTACGATTTCATTGACGACCAGCACGTGTCTCGCTCTATGATCAGACACGTAAATACCTAATTGTCCTTCTACGTAAAACTCCACGTGGCCGCGAAATACGTTACAACTGGATTCCGCAAAATATTTCCGAAGGTCATAATATTTATACGTCTGGAATTTCTATTTTTTGCTGGTGTAATATAACCGAGCGGATGTGCCGTTTCACTGCACTTCCGTAATTCGACTCTTTTCACACCGCGATAGCAAAATTCTGACGCAGCATATGTCGCAAAGTTAATGGCAAAAACTGAATAGGTGGTTCGTTTATCTATTGTTGGAAATATCGATGTATTGTTCGCTTAAATTGACAATTTCGACGTTTTTAAAACTGCACGTTCAACGAAGGTTATCTGTCAATGCCATCTTAAGTGCAGTTAGACGCATTAATGAGTGCTCGTTCTTTCTACGAACGAAATCATTCATTGTTTGAGTCGCTGTTAACGATAGTACCATTAATTAATATAGCGTAGTACAAAAACGTTCTTAGCAGTTTCCTTGGTGGTTTAATCTTGCAGACACTTTTTTGAAAATACGGCTGCTATTAATACAACAAACCGCGTATTGCGTGGACGTTTCCTTAACCCTAATCACCACTTCGTACCCACTCTAGACTCTTGGCACGTATCTGTACCCGAAGACCTTGCAAAGTGTAGTAGATGCTGCACTTGTTGAAAAATTCCAGTAGTCTGGTAACGACTTGTTATGGTAGATTAACGTCACGTAAACAAATCACGTCAGACACGTAGTAGTACAATGGCGTATTATAAGTTATAGCACGAATTTTACATTTATAAGCAAATTTAATTTTATGCAGTTTCTTACAATTGATCATGCCATTCTGTACATTTCTTCTCGGCGTAAAAATGTCGCCACGTCTTCCTGTGAGAGCGTGAGATGCAAAGCTCTTTTATTGAATAAAAGTAATCCCGAAACGGTTCTGCGACAATGTGCACAAAGATGCCGCTCTTTACAAGGAGCAACAGAATTTAAGTTGTTTATGATTCTGAAGTACTTGTTGGGGTTTGGCAAAAGTGCCGACCGGAAGCTATTATTGGGATTAAAATTACGGGTCTCGGAACATCGTGTCGTGTTTTTGAATACTACTACTTTGTATTTCTTATTGTATCAAAATTAATCGTCGTAATTAACCGCGCTAATCTGATTGAAGACAACTTTATCACGTGTTTGACGCGAAAGTACGACTCTGAAATAAAAAATTACTAAAGAAATTGCAAGTTTGTGTTTCGTTAACAGAAAAGAACAATCAAGACTGACTGAACACTTGACTTGAAAACTACTATTTGTCCTGTGGATTGTATATCGATCGAGAAAAGTTTCGTGTTCATAACGAGTGTTAATCACTTCTAATTTGGTTTGCTAGAAATGACGATCGGTTTAGAAGTTAAGCTGCTTAGAATTCACGGCCACCACACATCCTCAATTTAAAAGATGAGCAGACTTTAAAATTATTTGTATTCTGCCGAAATGGATAATTCGAGTTGCCTTTCAAGAACAGAAATCATGTGTAATTTAATTCTTTATGAGTGTATTTGACATTGAATGTGAACGTGGTCTTTCGTAATATATTTCTTAGTCACTCAACTTTATTTAGACACAGCACACCTATTTTATGCAAAATTTTACACAAAGACAATCTTTGCGCACCACTCCTACCACGGTCCTCGTGTCAATTATCAGCACAATTTTGTCGAATTTGGCGTACCGCAGCATACCGGTGGCTGAATTTTAATGAACTTTTGAAAGCATTGTCGCGACCGATAAAGTAAGTATCCGCTTATAATTCGAGACAAATTACGGTTACCGTAAAATTAATGGTACTTTGACAGCCCGCAAGTGAACAACAATAAAGCAGTTTGTATTGAGCAATTTGCAGAGTGCAATTACGCTAATGGTTTAAGTGCCGAGACAGTTCTTCACCATCTTTTATCCATTTTCTCGTCCTTGGTGCAGCCAACAATCAAGGCATACGTAATTAAAAGCCGTGTCTAAATCTGTCATTTCAAGAGAAGGTTACGTCGGGTTCTTTCGGCAAGAGTTAAAAATCGACGGAAGTTTATTTAGGTATTTACGATTTTCCAAATGCTAATTAATTTTGACCCTGAAACATCTGTAAAATCCGTATTTGAGCAAGTGACACCATTCACCCAGTATAAATAAGGTCGTGTTCGTGTAGTCCGATAAAAATAAAATCAAATCAGATGATACTCTCTCGTGTCAGTTTGTTTAGAATTTCGTCATATTTGGATAATATGAGACGATGCGGAGCGATTAAATTGTAGTAAGTGGGGTGTATAAAAAAATCGTAAACACACCGATAAATGGAATAAGTTGTGCACTTTAGCCTTGCTTGATGATGTGTGGAAATGTCAGACCAATTCGTGATCACATTAACATTCGCGGATCACGAAACGGGTTATTTTACAAATAATTGTTTTTTTTTTGCACTCCCGATCACCCGGTGCGATTCCCAGAGGGTTAAACCCCAAAAGAGATTGATCGATGGTGCTTGATTATGGGAATCTGTGCTGCAATTGATTCAGTTTTCGGGACCCTGACATAGAAACGACGTAAATATGCACCTTAATAAATGGCAATACGTTTTATAAAGTCAATTACTCAATACAGAATGATGTAAGATTACAAGGTAAAATGCTAGTTATCGGGCGAAAAATGAATAGACGGATAATTAAATTCAAAAAGGCATTCAGAATTTACGATACCTGTATATAACTCAGCTGGATATGATCTAATGATATAGATGCCAACCGTCCAAGGCGCATTGTTAATTTAATTGCCATTAAAGGAACGCCATTCCATTACGACAAGTGGCAGCCAGACAACCAACAACCTGCATACACTGGGTCAATATTATTATTTTTAATAGTTCGAGCGCAGATGCTTTTGGTAGTTATACAGTCACGCCGACAGTAGCTGATGATGACAATACTGACCAAAATTAGTTAGTTAGCAGGTCTTGGTTGCTCTACATTGCTGTTTTGCAAGGTCGGAGCCGAAATGCATATAAATTTCAAGGCTGAGTTAATCTTTAAAGGTCTCGTCTCATCTCGCGAATACGTTCGTTTAAGGTTTTTTATTTCGTCAAGCAGGTCTGAGTAAGAACAAGGTTGCCAGTGTTACCAAACACATTTGTAAATAGTCGGTTGCTCAGCCACATTACGATAAAATGTGCAATGTTTCTTGTTGCAACCAGTACATAAATATGAGATATGAAGTAAATGGGCCGACTTGCGGCAGATAAGACTAACAAATATTTGCAGGATAGATCTCATTGAGAAAACTTCTCATTCCAGATAGTTTCAAAGGACTGCCATTCGCTGGTCTCGGCCCATTATCGACTCGATTCGCACCCGAGGGTTTCTTCTTTACACGAGGTGGTGGTTGGGAATCGCTACCTGTATTTGGTGTACCCCAAGGCGCACGGCGACCTACATTCATACGTGAGGTCAAGGAAAAGACTGAGGGAATCCGAGGCGAAAAGACTCTTTAAACAAATAGCCGAAACAGTACAAGTTTGTCATAGGAACGGAATAGTATTAAGGGACCTTAAACTTCGAAAATTCGTCTTCGCAGACCCCCAAAGGTGAGTACTTTTCGAAACATGTCGCAACCGGTCCGGATACGAGAATTTAACCGAGATCATAATCTGATAAATCTCGACATCCTCGACGGAAAAGGATGATTTGACGAAACGCGTAGCGATTGGGAAAGCTTTTGTTCTTCTGCTAAGCCGCTGTTGCGTTTTTTCAAAGAATTCGGTCGTTCCGAGGAAGAAATGTTCCCACGACGTGCGATGTAATGAAATAATGATAAAGGAGAATTGTGTAGTGTGTAGCAATTTGTAATGAATCGTCGGTGAGGCGCGTTTTACACGTGTCTCTCGTAAGAAGTGGGATTGGGCAAGAGTTGAACCTCTGTGTCCCGTTTACGATTACCTCATCACATTGTAGGCTTGAATGTCTTTAATCTATTAATACCTCTTATTACATTCCCGGTTGCGGGCGTGGTTGGAATATAACGTTACTGTTCCGTTGCGAAAGGGATCAAACAGGAAATTGCATCGATCGACAGGACGTACCGAAAAGCGCAGCTGCGTTGCATCCGATCTGTCCGCCGGAACATCCACCCCCTGGACCCGGTTTTCCGATCAACTCCTTGTTTATGCCATCCCTTACCTGTCCGACCCGGGCAAGTTCACGCCATTGTACAGGAAGCCAGTTGCGAAACGTGAACTCGACCTCTTTGCCGGGAAACAATGCCTCGGCATGGCAATGATACCGTGCCATGATTTAGGCGAGTTCGACGAGCAAATTTTTTGACACAGAAATGCATAAAGTCGAAGTTGTGCAAAGGCGATGCGAAGTATTTGCGACATTTTGACTTTGCAATAGACCGTTGTGTAAGCGGCCGAAGATGTGTGTCGCCCTTCAACTTTTCCGATTTTGTTAGCCACGGTTGCTACAGAAAACAGCACGCTTGTATTTGATTTTGAAATAATCTTTTTTTCGCTTGAGAAGACATAGTTTCGTCATGGATGATGCGTGAGCGAGATTGTTAGACGTGTTATCATAAATGATGATAAAATGCAGATTATCACTTGGTTTTGAAATATTAAACAGCAAACAGTGATTCATTCATCATTTTGTGATCACTTGTGGCAAAGGAAATAATCATGCGTTCCTTTTTCAACAAAACAAAGTAGAGTTTTTTTAATTGTAATTGTCATCTTGTGTGTTGCTAAGTTCTTGCTAAAATTTACACCAAATAATTCTGTACATTTTCGAACGTCGGTAACTTGAAGTAAGTGACAGTTGATGATGATAACGATAATTTTTTCTTTATACATATTATTTTTACTAATTATTTTATTCACACTTATATTCTTCAATCACAACTAAGAATGGCCATGTATAATTCTTAAAAAACTAGAAAACTTAAAAAAATTAGAACAAATTGAGAATATTACAAAGAAAACGCTAAATGAAAAGATTCGATTTGAAAACAGTTGGGCACTTTGAGCAACACGATGTCGAATATCATACTTTAGAAAAAAAAACTGACAGTTATGGAAAACAGACAAGAAGGTTAGAATATAATTCTGTATTTGACAACAAAGTGGCCCAAAAAAATTATAAGACAGTTAACTTCAAAAATGATAAATGTGGATATATGTCCCATTACTTGGTACAAAAAATTGTTAGAGCATCGGTCAAATGATATAAAAACTGTTAGGCTTTTCTTAACACCAAAACCGCCTTTGCAGCAATCTGCAAAAATGTTCAAAAATTGTCCGGTGGGACCAAATGCCATCGATAAATGGTTGCAAGATTCTGCAATGACCATGAAATTTTTGATTAACCTTTAATTATCCACACGATAGTCTTAACGCTCACCTACAATTTCACAACAGTTTTGGAGATTAGTAAAATCACCAGTGGACAGACAGATAGACGGAGACAGGAGACCCGTTATACTCGTATCGTACAAACCGGAAAATGTAGAGAAAAAATGAAATTAGTCATTCGTTAAATGTACTCTCGTTAGAAATACTCCCCTAGTTTATGCTTGGGAATTAAAAATGAATGTTAAAATTTTATTATGCTCAGGATTCCATTGTATAAGCTGTAACACTAATTACCGCATAAAGGAAAAATCAATAGTTTAATCTGATGTGTTGGTAATGTTATGCAAACATAGGGTTTCTAATGTAGGACATTTTGAAGTACTTATTTAGAGGGAGCGATATCAAATGTGAGCGCTGTTTCATCGACTACTAAAGGAGCATTCAGATTCAAATAACTTTTTACTGTTTGAGCTTGGACAACAAAATTGTTGGAGGAGAATTTCAAGCATTAAACACTATTACTTTAGTTGTTAAAAATTGAACACCCAGTTTCTAAAAGATACGTGGGTTACAAAGAAACAACTTTGCGAAGCTGTTGTTCACAAAGGGAGCCCCTTCGCGAAAAACACGTTAGCAAAGGTCGACTAATCATCGGCCCTGATTGGTATATGATTATGCTGTACGCACGTGACCTACCAGTTCGTGAAAACTTTCGGGATACGCCGTCATTATCACGGTTGTCTCCTTTCTTTTTCACTTCTCGAGCAACAAAGGAATTGAATGGAACCGTGTCCTCCTCGCGAAATTTCAGTGGGTCAGACTACCGGTGACACGGATATCGTGGCTCGAACCGGCCCGAGGACCTTTTACTTTTGCCAAACCGGAAACAATATTTACGTCAAAGGGTGCGTTCACGGCCTATAAATAAAGCATCCATTTTAGCTAATACTGCACGCGTGGCTCCCGTATATGAATGAACACCGGAACGGAAATAACTCAATATGGCGAAGTCGGACACGAAATTTGTGGGGCGTGAAGTACGGAACAGAAGGAGTACGAGACAGTTCAGTTGATATTCAGTGTCACATTACTGCAAGGCCGCAGATTCGATCCGCTTGTGTTGTTTTCTCTTTGTCGGACGATTTTTCTCTTGTCTGGATGGCGTGCCAAAATCGGGCTAAATGTAAAAATTTTGTAGGATCCTCTGCGAGCTGACCTTTACACTTGACCTTTGACCGAGTGTTGCAAATGCTGGCACAGGTCCAAGTATAATCGATTGAAATGAAGGCTTGTCGATTTTGCGGCCATCACGATGTGAAACGGTGGTTTTTATGTAGTTTTTTATCTGGTGGAGGTTAATGCCTTGTATCCTGTTGTATGTACGCAATGCATGTTAATGAAACGGAGATGTTTTGAAACCTCTGGTCGTGACTGTTGCCCAGATAAATATAACACAATTGCTCAATTTCTGTACCGAGCGTATTAGCTCACATTTGGATCCAGTACAAACATACTTTTACGATTCATCACTTCGGTGGCGGCTGTTGCAAAATACGCACATGTTATCGGCTGATAAGCGTATGCCGATTTTGGACGTTCCAAGGGACTACTGTATGTTTACGTTTACATAATAATAAAGCCAGCCTTATTTTTTGCGCTAATCTTAAATATTTATGTAATCGCGATTGTTTTATTTTGACTAAATTGTTGACCTTTAATTTTTATAACAATGTTTGTTTGAGAAAATTGCGAAAATTTAAATATAGGAATAGCTCACTCAACAGGACAGGTTACACAATCCGGGTTAACCACGATTAATTCCTTATATCTAAAAAAAAGTTGACCCAGTTCTAGAAATCCAGTTAATGATGGCGGAGCAAAAACTAGGTTTCTATATAAATTTTTATGTCTGTTTGAGAGTGGATAATTTTCAAACGCTAATTGCGGGTAAGTGATGCGTTCGAGACAGTTTTCATGCATGAATGCCGTGCACTGTATCCATATTGGAACGCAAAGACACGCCATTGAGTATGAAAGAAATGATAAATGAGAAATCAATCGTCAGTTCGAGTAACCTTATTTTTCTTACGATTATACCGTGGTTTAATTCAGTTTATCTAATAGTGAGTTAGTGTCAACAGTCATACTTTTTGTGTGATTTATGGCGTTTCTGTCGTGAATCATAAACAAAAACTTGTAAGCTCCAAGCACGGCTCGTTTGGACGACAGAATCGATCTCGGGAGTATAATCTTCATGACAACTGGTACGCAACATTCTAGTCGTAAACCGCGCTAAACACCAAGGCAGTAATGTTCATCTATTGTTAGACAATCATAAAAACAAATGACATTCCGTGCTACGATAACCTTGCTCGATAATGATTTAAGGTTCGCTTACACACAAAAAGTGATGCAAAAATTTCGCGTACAACGTTATTCGATAAAGATAAACCCACGTTCGATGTAGATAACATCATTCGAAGAGTCATTTCCGGAGGACTCCGGGCCTCCGGCGGCTCCTTAATCACCGTCTGGTCGATTGTCTAATTTTAGAATCAGGATGCGACCGAAGGGGCTTGGCGTATCTGCCAAATTCTTTGTTTGGGTAGATGTTCGTGCGAATTTTTTTACGTCAAAACTCGTAAATTTTTTTGGCAAGCGTACATGAGGTCTATTTTTAATGGTCCGTCTGTTAAACAGAGAAATAAACAGGGCAGTTTCGTCAGCCGCTGCTAATTTCTGTTAATATACACTGTTTGATTTGCAGTAACGATACGGTAAATATGTATCATGTGTCGTAATACGCAAATTATTGCGAAAGCCTTGGCTCGGGAAGGTCGTCTGCGAAAATTAAAATTTTAAAATAGACATGGCGCTATTGAGCATTATTTTAGTTCTGGTTCTGCCTTGGCTGGGGTGTGCTTCGGCGGCGACAACTTTCGTTGCGAAGAACAAAGAGACCAGTCTCGAGGCCTTGGCGGATTTTAATACGGTGCCAAATTGAATGTATGCATCCGCATTACTGCAAATTTAATTAAGCGTTTTGCAGTAATTAAGCTTACGGCACGTATGGCAAGCTGCTCCGATGGAATGAAACAGTTGAGCTTTGCGTCAGAGTTTGTGTCGAAAGAGTGTTGCATCAAAATGTTGCTGCAGTCATTATTCAATTTATAGTTTCGTCATTGAAGCGCCCAGGGCTCGTACTGTTTTATTAAAAACCATCATCATTCGAGTTGAGG